TTGACAAAGTCGTTTGCAGATTTGCTCGGGATATGTGGGGCATTCCAGCGCCAGCAACATGGACGTCGGGTTGAGCACACCTGCGCCTTTCGGTTATTGCAGACTTTCGCAAGGAAGAACGCGTACAGTAGGTGTTGCCTTGGTGTCGTATAACTGCACGTGACGTAACTGTTTGCTGTCCTCTCGGCCTGTGCAGCCGCTTTGAAACGTTCTCCATATCCTCTGCGTCGGATACTTCCAACCCCCCCCTTCCTCTTCGCTTCCCCCTCATTCCCCGCATGTGTGCGATCTCACCCACGGGACTGTCACGTCACGGGACTGTTCGGCGACCGTCGTCGTCGTGCTTATCCTCAACGCACGCACGGCACAAAAGGTGGGAACAGCCAGGCAACAACCCTTTCGTGAATTTCTGGAGGAACTGGATGTTTTTGTTTCTGTATTCCAAGCTGGGCTTCTCCCCCGAACAAATCTTCCGGCTTTACTACGGCCGTGACCCGGACCCCATCGTCGTCGCCGACGACTCTCACTCTCTTGATTCCGGGTCCGGTGGCAAAACTCTTGACGATCACGTTCACGTCTCCGCCGATCCAGCGCCTTCCCGCTAAGTTAGTTGAAATACATGAAATACACCCATCCTTAGGTTTAGGGGTTCTCCTTTCATGGGTTGGGAAGGTTCGACAGGATGCATATCCTTTCTATGGGTTGCCGAGAGTCGGGTGCATACTCTTGTTTGGATTGGGAAAATTAGGGTGCATTCTGTGGGCTCGCTGCCGCTTTGGTACGTGTATCGAGGGATGCAGCGTTGTTTGTGTGGTGGGTGCTCTGTTGGGCGTCTCAAGCAGCTTTATCCATGGCTGCAGTGGCCCCTCCCGTGCTTGAAAGGGTCTTGTGTTTGTCGGGGGGCGTTGCTCTTTCAGGCCGTGCGTCTTGGAGATACATGCACGTTGTCGCTTGTTTTCTATCGTGTTGTGTGTGTTGGAGATGCAGCGTAAGCCAAACCCTTGGTGTAACTGCTGCCTGCCCCTTGTTAGCATGGTGTCACGGTAGCCCAGAAAGTTAACTTCTTCCGGGTGGACACGGTGGAACATGGTAGCTGAGCCGCGGTGTGCGGTTGTGTGTTTATCCTCTGGTGTCGTAGACATGCGCTCACCTGCCATGGGCATGGAATGTTCATCGGGGAGCTACGGTGCAACCGCCCTATTTACCTCAAAGCGTTCTGCGTCTGAGACGAGTTGTCTGGCTGGCTGCATGCGGTGTTTCCACAAGCAGAGCGATGTCGATTGTTGGGGTGCCTCTGGTTGAGTGTCTTTGCGCCGTCGAATCTCGTCGAGTGTTGCAAGGTTTTGCTGTGACACCCCTTTCGTGTTGAGCGAGGCTATCACGCTTTGTGGGGAACTGCGGATTGCTGCATCATTTTACGGTGCGTTTGTGTGTTCGGCGCCTCCTTTTTGTATCTCGGCACCATGGGTAGGTAGGTGCGGGCGGTGTGTCCTTAACACTGTCCGTATTCTTGTCGAGGTGGTTCTGAGCGGATGAGTTCCATCACAATATTTCTACCATATCACCCAAGCAACCTTGTTTTATGCTATCTTTGTTTTCAGACGTCACCTTTTTCTTACGGTGTGTAGACTATCTGTGATCGGTATGTTGCTTGCGTCGATCGTTCCAGCGAAGAATTTTCTGGTTTCGTCCTTGTTTTTTTTTTCCTTTTTTTGATGAATATCTTCGGGTTATATTCATTTTTGTGGCTTGAGAAGTGTAGTAGGCGTCGAAACAGGTTTTGAAGCTTTTCGTAGGCGGCGGTTATCCCCTCCACGAGATTAGTGCTACACTGCTGCAACGCTCTAAAACTCTACAAGATTGATTATTTAAAGACTTGCCCTTGACTACGGTTGCACGTGAACGCCCCTCGACTTCGTTTGACGCCTGAGCGATAGCGAGGCACTTGTTCGTTTTTATGTCGATCCATCCATTATGTTTCGACGCCTCTTGGGAGGGAGAAAGCGAAAGACAAACTCCTACTACAGGTTGAGCTCCTCTTGTGTGCCTCTGGTGTATCATCAGAACAGCGCTTTGTCTCTATCTCCTCCCCTCGCCTCTGTCGCTCATAAGCACACCTCGCTCGCGTTCCGTGTAACGGGAAAGGGGG